ACCAAATAGTATTGTAGATGCATACATAAGAATAAAAACAGACTGAGCAGATTGCGTTTATATATTTAGGAATATACACAGATAAAACAGCCATGAATTTGAAAGAGTAGGGGGAAGGAGGACAGAAAAGGGAGGAAATAATATAATTGCAAAAACTAAAAACATCATAATTGTTTAGAAGAGCCCTAATTACCAGAATCTCATTTCTAGTGTGGGAAACAAGCATAACAAGTGCGAGCTGCACTTTTCAATATGGTGACCAGAGCTGGAAACACAGAAGTTGACCAGGATTTGATCGATGCTCAGGGGAGGATTACCTGTTCAATTGGAAATAGGTTTCAACATTTTTAAATATTGAGATCTTGCAAGTCTGCAAAACAAAAAACAAGGCAGCCATTTAAAACTACTTTGTAAGATTCCTACCTGTCTGAAACAGACATGTCAGAACAAAGCCATGTGCAGAGGCCCTTGCTGATAGTTCTAGCACTGGGGAATGCAGAGGTAGGACTTCCTGAATCCATGAATCAGAGGACAGTGTGGATGAAATAGTGTGGAAACAAAACAGTGAATTCTTAAGAATGGATTCCCTCTTTACCAAGAAAATTGGGATAATTAAAAACCAACTTCTGGTTTATTATTGATAGTAGTGTTGAAAAAGAAACCAGGCTATTTTTTATTTTTGTTACATGTGTTCACTGTGTGTGTGTGTGTGTGTGTGTGTGTGTGTGTGTGTGTGTGTGTGTAAACTTCATAAGCATACTGTGGAGGTGAGTGTTAGGTTATCAGGGAATTGCTTCTCAGTTGGATTTTTCCTACCATATACAGGAACAGGGCCTGAACTCAGGTTGTCAGGCTTGGTGGCATTCACCTGCTGAGCTACCATGCCAGCCCCAGACTGGGACATGCACAATTGACAGAAGACACTAGTGAGTCAGTACCAAAGTAGGTATGAGTGGGTTATGTTTCACATAAGCAGTACAAAGACTCTGAAAACGAGCCCAAGACATTAACCTTAGAGGAACTGTTGAATATTAATGCAAAGAGAAACAGCTAAAGTGCCAAGGGGTTAAATGGAAATGAAATTAAAAACATTATGGCTATTTAATAGAGAAGATGGGGGTGGTAAAAAAAATTCAAAAGCATTTCAAACCTCAAGAATAATGAAAACAACATACCAGAAATTGTGGACTGAAGCTGAAGCAGTATTGGGAAAATTGCAGCTTGAATGCTAGTATTGGCAAAGAAGACAGCTGGGTCTGCTGCAAGCCACAATCCCAGCACCTGCTTCAGCAATACAGTGAATCTGAGGTGACCTGGGCTACAAGATGAGAACATGTCTCAAGAGACCAAATAAACAACGAGAAGGACTACACTCCATTTTAGTCTCCATCAGCACCAAGAAAGTATGACAACTTGGATTGAGTGGACACATTCCTTGACTACGTAGATTGGTCCAACTGAGGGCAAAGTGACAGCAAGTACTACTTGCAAGGTCTTTTAAAGATAGCAGTGACGGGCAACAAAGATATTATACCAAAGTTATACAGTTACACCTGGCCAAAAGGTAGCTTTCTGTCATGAGAATGACAACATTTTAATGGACATTTAAAAATGAAGCTAGAGCTTGAATACCCCTGAATTGGGAGTGGGTTTGATACTGTAAAGGCAAAAATTCTCTCCAAACCAATCTCTAATTCCACTGTAACTCAAAAGATCCAAAGGGAAATGCCATGGTGGTTTCATATGGAAGAGACAGGAGCTATGTATCCTACAGGCTATCCTGAAAATATCCAAGCACTGCTCTATAGCTGTCAAATCTCTTAATAAATAAACACAACAGCTGAAGTCAGTTCTGTCTTTGTACCACATGGGGTCACAGGGATTGAACTCATGTTTAGGCTTGGAAGCAAGCACTTTTATCCATTAAGCCATCTTGCTGGCCCTGTCAATCCTGCCTATAAAGCTGTAAGCACATAGATACCATTTATTGAGACACAACTGCAAATACAATAGTTGAGCTGAGTAAGTTTAGGGAGGAATGGAGTTAGCATAGAGTAGCAACTACACAACACACACACACACACACACACACACACACACACACACACACAAAATTGACTCCAAGTGAATTAAAGACTTTAAGTATGAAAAGAAAAGAAACTGTAAAATGTTTACACAAAACATAATGTACAAACTAAAACAGACATGGCGGATCTATTTTGCTACATTAAAATTAAGCCATAGCAGGGTCAACAAGATGGCTCCATGGTTTAAGGCACTTGCCACTAGTCCTAACCATTTGAATTTGATCTCTGGGGCCCACAAGATGGAAGGAGAAAACTTACTTTCACAAGTTGTTTTCTGGACCATGTGTGTGTTGTGACATGTGCAAACACAATAAATGTAATGAATGCAACATAAAAATAAAGGCTGGACCTGGTAATACACACCTTTAATCCCAGTTCACAGAACCAGGTGGATTTCTATGAGTTTGAGATTTCAAGGCCAACCAGGGATATATATTGAAAACTTATCTCAAAAGTAAGTTAGAAGTAATACGACATGCAATGAAAATATGACACAAACTGGCAGGAGTTGGTGTTTCTAACACCAATAATTACTGTTGGAGACATTTTCTAGAGCACAAAATAAAAAGGTTCTCACAAATCAGAAAGAAAGGACACCCAGTCTAGTTTTTCAGTAGGGCTAAAGATGCAATGCACTTTTAACCAATGTCTAGCCATCCAAACTGGGCCAAGTAGGTAATAGAGTTCAAGTGTAAGTTTTGAGGCAAGGGTGGTTCCTGCCTATAAAGCTGTAAGCATATAGATACCATTTATTGATACCAAACCAAAAGGAAAAACAGGGCTTTTTATTTGAGCCACATGTAAGTATAGAATTTGTTTAGCAAAGAATATCATTAAATACATTAAATATTAACAAGTGTTTCTGCACCCAAAAAAAAAAAAAAAAAAAAAACCCAAAAATCTATAAATAGAGGGAAAAAAAATGTTAAACTTCACTGAGTAAGATGCAAATTGAGGCCAGATGAGATCCATTTCACATCACTGTGTCGTACCATAATGTTTGCTTGTGAGGATGTAAAGAAAATAAAATAGCCATGCGTTAGTGGCACATGCCTTTAATCCCAGCACTAAGGAGGCAGAGGCAGGCTGGTCTTTGTGAGGGTATACAGAGCTAGTTCCAGAGGTGCCTGGAAGGTGGGGAAAAATAGACAATAGCCTTCCGATGCAGAAAAAAACAAAACAACAAATTTTAAACTGAGGAAAACACTTTGTAAAATTAGTCTTTGTCTATACAAAGTCTTTTTGACCAATGCTCTTAGCAGCTTTACACATAATAACTTCGACTGAAAAGTAATTAGCTCATCAACAAACATAAACATTCTCATGCAGTGGACTACTTGCCAATAAAAAGTAAAGAACATGCAGCATGGACGGATCTCAAAATACTTATGCCAAGGGGGAAAAGGCAAACAAAAGTATATATTGCATTATTCCATTTCTATAAAATAGAGAAAATGCATAGTGTAGATGATAGAAAGCAAATCTGACACTTAGGAGATATGAAGGGGGGTCACGAGGGAATGATTACAAAAAGGCACTAGATAAAGATTTTTAAGGTGATGGATCTGTGCTCTATCAGGTCTGTCATGCGTATGTGATGGCAAAACGTCATGTTTGAAATATAAGCAGTTTATCGTATGTCAGTTAGACCTCAGTACATCTTAAAATGTCAGCAAAACCAAAAGCATCGTGAGTGGCTAGTGGGGAAATTACAAAGAAGTAATAAATAACGTCTGAAACAAGACTGACTACCTGGGCACAGAAGAGAGGTGGTGCCAGTGGGGGAGGCTTACAAGATGCTCTTTAGCCCTTCTGGCACTGTGCTGTTTCTGAAACTAGGTTAGGCAACTCAAATGCTTTTGTGGCTATTTTAGCCACGTGTGTGCTTGTGTACATAGGCAAGGCACAAGCCGCCACACACGCTGTATTCTATCGTTCCAGAGCAGGGTCTACGCAGAACAAATCATCGGAAGGACTAAGTTCTTTCAAGTCTGGTCTGTGTCACTAGTCTGAAAATGGCAAACTTTTCATTTGTTCCAGGTGGAAGAACTGTCAACTCCAAACAGGAATTGCAGAGATCAAACTGAAGAGCTACGGTAAACTTCCCGGTACACTACTGTCTGTGCTTGTTAAAACTTGCTGTCCTCCCACAACCTTCTAGAGTACACCTCTAAATACAGATGGTTAAGCATGCACTTGGTACACATACATAAAGCAGTTAATATTCTCAGTAACTATAGCCAAAACAGAATTAACTTCTTGCATGCTTTCTCTCTCTCCAAGATCGTTTTTTCGGAGTACTGATGGCCTTATTTTCTTCTTTAGTTTTGTTTGGTTACTGCTTCTTTTCCTTTTCCTCTCCTTTACAGCAGTAGGGATTAAACCTACGGCCTTGGGGCATAGCAGGCAAGCACTCTGTCACTGAGTTGTGGCCCCAGCGCGTAGTTACTGCTTTTGTCCAACGACTAAAACACAGGCTGAAGCAAATCCATCAGGGTTTGCATTTCTCTTCGCCAGACACCACCCGCTGGAAAGGTCTTGGAATCCGGCGGGCAGGATTACTTCAGGGTAAGCGGGGTCTTGGGCCGCAGTAGATTCACGATGAAAAATGAAAGGGCCCCAGGCCGCCCCCGCCTGTGTCTTTGCCTCCGGGACGGTTTTCGGACAGGAAAGCGCACGCGGGGATGCGAACTACAGTGCAGGTGCACAGGGGCCGCCAGGGTATAGGAGCAGAAGCGGTGCAGAACCTCTACGCCCCGCCTCCTCGAGGTGCACACTTCCGGCCGCAAGGGCACTCGGGAACGCAAGCCGTGAGCCTCCACCAACCAGCATCCGCGTCGGGCCGGCGCGGCTGCGCGCGCATCGCGGCGCAGGTTCGAATCTCGGGCGCCTCGCTGCAACTCCCCCAACGTCCCTGCCGCCCTCGGGGCGCCCTAGCCCGCAGCTCCGTGCCGCCCTCCCGCCGGCCGGCACCCGCGTGCCGCCCATCCCCGGCCCATGGCCAAGCGGCGTGCGGCTGAGCCGCTCACGTTCCGCGTGCCTTGGAAGCGGCTCTTGCTCAGCGACTTCCCCGAGGAGCCGCCGCTCTGGGTCCCGCCATCCGGGGCGGCTCGGTCCCGCAAACGTCAAGGGGACGCGGGAACCATGGCGGAGCCTGCGGCTGCGCCCCGCAAGCGACGCGGCTGCGGGGACGACGGCCAGGAGCGGCATGGCCGCGGCCTGGAGCCGGGAGAGCCACCTCCCGGCGAGCAGGAGGAACTCCGGGGCGGCCGAGCTCCGGGCGGCGGCGACGGGGCGGGGAGCGCGGGCAGCCCGCGGGGATCCGACAGGGCGCACCTGCAGGTAGGTCCACCCCGCTCAAGCCCGGAGCCGCGTCCCAGGCTGCGGAAGCCCGGGCCTCTCGAGGCTGCACCAATGGACCGTGGCCCCGAGGTCAGCCCAACGGCGGTTGTCCAGCAGCATCCCTCAGTTATTTGAGCTTGGTGCTGGTCTGAGCAGAAGGGAAGGGCTCCTTAACTCACAGCGTTCAGTCCTGAGAGAAAGGGTCGTTGGGAATCACTTTGCTCTACGCTGTCTGCTAGCCACGCGATCCAGAAAACAACAAGAAATGCAACTTATCCAAATGTATGTGTTAGTGTAAAAGAGCGCTCAGAGTTGCCTGGCGGCGGCAGCGATAATAATACACGCCTTTAATCCCAGAACTCTGGAGGCAGAGGCAGTCAGATCATGAGTTCGAGGCCAACCTTGTCTACAGAGCAAGTTCCAGGACAGTCAGGGGCTACACAGGGAAACATCTCAAGAATCGAAAGGGTGGGGGGGGAGTGAACCAGGGCCTGTGCTATTGTTATACTCTAAGTAAGTTACTTTTCTGCTGAAATGAAATGTTAAATTTTACTTTGTAAAATGTGACTGGAAAACTTCAAATGAATTCACACACACACAACTCCCGAGCCTTCTTTAAAACAGTTTTGATATAAATTGGTGGAGGTTGGGGTGATTGGCCCTCAGCCATCTTGGGGTGCATCTGCCCAATGCCTTTCTCTAGTGCCTTAAGCATTTTATGACGAAGCTAGCAATCATGCCAAAAATCAATAGATAATTGAGATTTTTTTTTTTTGCCTTTGATTTTCGTGAGAAATCTGATAACAAAATTTTTAGTTGGGAACTCGCCCCCCTCCCCACACCCAGGGTTGTGAGAGATTATCTTTCTTTTTTGTTTTGTTTTTCCAGACAGGGTTTCTCTGCTTAGCCCTGGCTGTCCTGGACCAGGCTGGCCTCTAACTCACAGATGTGCCTGTCTCTGGCTCCCGAGTGCTGGGGTTAAAAGTGTGGGGAGAGGTTATTTTCCATGTGCAGATTTTCTTTCTACCAGAACATACAGTGTGCAGTGTAGGTGCAGTCTATATACCCATGACTGATGAACGTCAGAGAGTGGGCCAAGGGGGAGCCTTTAATGAGCTGACAAGGCAAGGCACCTGCTTTAACTCTGATAGACACAGTTGGCTCTTGCCTCACACACTGGCTACATCTGGCAGGTTTTGCCCTGTGCTAGTTGCAGCCAGGAGAAGAACTTGCTAAATTCTGTTGGGTCTACTCTTGAGTTCCTTCTCTTATGCAGAACTATTAGAAGACACAAATTCTCCATCTTTCTTGCCTCCAAAGACAAGGTTTGTTTTAAGAATTTGTCATCCAGGAGAAAAGGATATAACAAAAAGCATATTGACATCAGTGTTGGTTTGATTTCTGTTTGTTCAGATTAAGGCTTAAATCCTTGCCCTAACCTCATAGTCTCATGTAAGAAATGCCACCATGAATGCCTTCTTTCCAGGCATAGTGTCTACTTTATTTTGTCAAGCTTCAGGATGTGTCCTGTATTGTTTCATACAGAGAATCACATACATATATACGTGTTTAGGTTTGTGTACACAACTTTTTTATGTATCTAGAGAGGGGATAGTTTAATGTGTATGTATACTTAAGACAAAGCCAAGAATGCATATGTGTTATATATAAAATATATCTTTAATAACAGTATAATTTTATGCAAATCAGTCGCTTGGCCTATATTACATTGTATTGTTCAGTAACAGCAGGAATGTTTTATTAGGGAGAGAGTTACTGATCCATTCATTTGAGGATATGTGATATGTAGCAGTAGTGAATATTTACTATGCTAATTTTTAATTCTCACAAAGATCCTAATTCATGTTTCTAATGAGGCAAGATCAGAGATTTTTGTGGTAGTTATTCAAAGTGAGGTATGCCTGGTGGCAGTTTGTCTTCAGTCACTGGGTTGTATTTTGCTCGGTATTCATAAGTAGAGAACTAGAAGGTAACTGTTTTGACCCCATTTACTTATTAAAGTGGAATTTTTTTTATATATATCCTTTATAAGTTTTATGTGTGTGTGACACATAGACCCAGATGCATTTGGTTATCTGCTGAGCCATCTCACCAGCCCTGTGTCTTTTGACTTTATTGTACCTTTAGCCCAACATTTAAAAATCCTCAAAAGACTAATTCTATCTGCCTGAAAGTCTAGGAGGGTGACCACTTACACTGTCACATAGCCCCTGAGCATTGCCGTTCCATGTAACCACTACTACACAGCAGTATTACTAGAAGTGTAAGGTGTATTCTTAGTTTTGAAAAGAATGTATTATGCCATTGTTTTGAAATGTTGAACGTTCATTGAAACAATATCTGTATTACATTGGGTTAAATAAGATCAAAGTTGGTGTAACTTGTTTTTATTTCCTTGTCATTGGAGAACAGTAAGTGCGTGTGATTGTCATTCCCCATGGATGGAGTTGCTGTAGCAAGTGTAAATGTAATACTGTGGCTGTAGTAAGGCATTGATCTGGCAAGGGTCTTCAGATTGAGACTTGTCACCTGACAGCCTGTATGGGACTCCCATGCTGCTCCCTTTGCATGGAGTATTTTGAGGGTGTTGTGTCAATTTTAACTTCACTACTTAAAGCAATTTTGTAATCATTAGAGTTAAACAGCTTAATGTTTAAGGGATCACTGCTCATTTTGCTTGGTGGAATTATTTATCAGTCATGCCAATTGTCAATTCTGTGTTCTTTCTTTTTTAAAGATTTATTTATTTATTTATTATAGTGTTCTGTCTGCATGTATCCCTGCAGGCCAGAAGAGGGCACCAGATCTCATTACGGAGCCACCATGTGGTTACTGGGAAATGAACTCAGGACCTCTGGAAAGACCAGCTGGTCTTGGTAACCGTAACCGCTGAGTCATCTGTCCAGCCCCATGTGTTCTTCACTTTATTAAGTTTATGCCCTAAACTTTATAGGAGTTAGTCTCAATATTAAACATTGGAAACAAAAGAGAGTCATAACAGTGTTTATGAATTTTAAATCTCGTGTTTCTCATTGAAACTTAACCCTGGCTCCTTTTTCAGAGGACTAGGGTACAATTCCCCAAACCCACATAGTGGCTCACAACAGTCTGTCTATAACTCTAGTCTTTAAGGGATCTGATGCTGCCTTCTGGCTTCCTCAGGTACTGCAGGCCCATGGTACACAGACATACATCCAGGCAAAATAACCATACACACAAATAAAAAATTTTAAGGCATTATAATATTTTTGAAAAGATGCTATTGAAGGAAAATTTTTAAATGAAACTATTAGCAAATATAAACCACAGATTTGATTGGATATGTGAAGTGCTTTATTCAAAGTCAAAACTATTTGTTGAAAATGAAAGAGTGGTTAAACAATAGTTGAGTATATTTTTCAAACCAGGAATTTAAAAAGTAGTTATTGGGCAGGCAAAATGTCTTAGCAGGTAAAGGCACTTGCTGCCAAGCCTGAGGACTTGAGTTTAGTTCCTGGAACTCCCATTGTGGGAAGGGAGTACTGTCTCCTGGAAGTTGTCTTCTGATCTCTATCATGGTATGTGCCTCCCCTAAATAAATCAGTGTCAACAAACAAACAAAAAATACATAGTTTCCTTTTTGGTTTTGAGACAGGGTAGTCCAGGGTGGCCTTTAGTTTACAGCTCCTCCATTCAGTCTTCTCAGTGCTGTGGTTCAGGGTGTGTCAACTTACCAGACTGAAAGGAAGCAATTATTTCCTAGAGAGAGAGTGAGAGAGAGTGAGTGTGTGGTGTTGTTTTCCAAGCCAGTGATACGTTTGTTCTCTTTCATCTTTTCTTAAAGCCCGATGAAGAGTTTTGGCAGTATAATACATTCCAGTACTGGAGGAACCCTCTGCCACCCATTGACCTGGCGGCTCTTGAAGATGTGAGCGCAGTTGCAGACAGCCTGACACAAACACTTCGGGACAAGAACGAAGTAGTTGAGATTGACATGGAGTCCTGACAGGAGGAGCTGAAGAAGCAGGGTTCTTTGAATCTGAGAGAACTAAAGGAAATGTTATTTCCCATACTTGACATGATACTGTTATCAAACCTGAAAAATGAGGAAGAGTTTGAGGCTAAATACTTGTAATTACTACTGAATGTCCTAATGGAGATTTGTTAAGGATATAGTGTAGCTGGGGGCAAAATACTTTGTGTGTGCATTTTTAATGAAAAGAGTTTTGTTCATGCTCTAACTTGGAAGATGCTTATCTTGGAAAAGGAGGTGTTGGCAGTTTTAGAGGAAGCACTCAGCTCTTCCTCTTGTGCTCTGTCCAAAGCCCCTCTGCACCAGAAAGCTTATTTGTGGTATGTGGATTGAATGCATTTTTATGACTGATGGTAAGAAAATACTTTCTAGTACATTTTATTGGCTCCTCTTGGTTGAACAAACAGACTTGACTATCTATGCAAAATTAAAATGTGAGCTTGTTTCTTAAAGCTAATATTGTTTTTAAGAGAGTGTAAATTTAAACTAGTGAGACTTTCCATTTGGGTAGCTTGTTTTAACTTTCAGTATTTGCTGTTTATTAAAATACTAGCTGCAATGGATGCAGCCAAAAGATGTATAAAGAACAATAAGAAGTAGATGCCTGCCCTTCCCGCCCTTTGCCGAGATAAAAGGAAAGAAAGGATACAGTCAGTATATTGATTTCTGGTTTGAGCACAGTTTTATTGTTGATTATTTAGACCCACATTTCTCCACACTGATAGCACTTTACCAGTCTGCTTGAGCCCCATCTTAGAGATTTCATTCAGTTATTTGAAGGTGGGCTTTGCTCATAGTTTTTTTTTTGTTGTTGTTGTTGTTGTTGTTGTTTTTGGCTCCAAGTCTGTATTCCTGTATTGTGCAGAGCTGCCAGAACTACTAGGCTAGTCGTTTTCCTGTTTAAAGGAGATCGCTGGTGTGAGCTGAAGCAATACCTGTTGAGTAGTTTTGTCTTTAATTTGTTACATTATTAAATCTGTCACTACTAAGTTATTGTGTTACAGTTTTATTGTTAATAAAGTACACTGTTTATGCTTAAGTTACGTATCAATGACTAATTTTTGCATTGCTTCCAGAAGGGTAATTTGTATTTCTGACATAAAATGCAATCCAAAATTCAGAAAAGGTAGTCCATGTCAATGAGAGGAAAATGAGAAATAATAAATAGTACCTACCTCAGAGTAACTACTTTTCAAAATCCCCTGTTTTAATTGGCGTATGTGGCATTTCCGTACACGATACTGCTGTCATTGCTCTCCACCGTCTGCCTGCCCAGGCTTCCCTGATGCTTTTCTGTCCACAGGGCTGTGCATGTGCATGCCACTGTTCTTGCAGCCTTTTCACCCCCTTCCTTCAAACCTTTTCCACCTCCTGCGGCCTTGTCTTAAGTTCCCTTTCCTGTTGTTGTGATAAAATACAAGGGACTTAGGGCAGAGGAGGTTTCCTCTAGCTCTGTGTGGAGGCTATAGTTCACCATGTGTGAGTCACAGCAGCAAGAGCCTGAGGGAGCTGGTCCCACCGTATCCAATGCAGCAGCAGGCAGGATTCTAAGCTAACCTTTAAAATGATAGCTGTATTTCTGTGTGTATGTGGACCCCTTGTGTCACTGTGTGTTGGTCAGTGAACAACTTCAGAGTTGGTCCTCTCCACTGTATATTTCCTGGGAACCAAACTCAGGTCATCAGGCTTGGAAGCACATACATTAACTTTTTATATGGTTCAGGGTTCAAGCCCAGAGAAAGGTTTCACCTACAGTGGCCAACCTCCTATCTCAATTAGGATCAAAATAATTTCTCCCAGGTGACTAGATCTTGTCAAGTTGACAACAGCATCACAGACTCCTGTCTAGTTTCATGACACATGCCCATGCTCACTCCCTCTTAATATGTGTAAGTCAGAAGCAGATCTATTTTTTTTAATTTTATTTAATTTTATATAACAGTCCAATTAAATGAAAACAAACATTTATACACAATATTTGGGAATTTGGGCATCGTTCTTTCCAAACTACTTCCTGCTGGTAAGGGGCGCTGTCTTGGGGGATTCGAAGAAGATTCAGATATCCTGGCTGTAGTCTGTAGGGCTGTTTTGTCCAGCTGTTTTGAATGTAGGATCAGCTTGTACTCTGTTTCAGGCGGTCTGGCGTGATCAAACCACATTAGTCTGGGAGGAATCCACATCTTTTCATTTTCTGTGGAAACAAAAATAGAAATCCTTTTCCCCAGTAACTTGTCCTTAAACTTAAATTTTGGAGTCAAAGCATTTTTTTTTTTAGTTTAATATATTATTTTACATGTCGATCCCAGTTCCCTCTCCCTCCCTCCCCCCCAGCCCTCCCTCCCTCCTTCCCTCCCTTTTTACTCTCTCTGCCCTCTCACATGCACTCTAAACACCCTCCCCTCCCATCCCCCCACCCCAATTCCATATGTAGGGGAGTGCCATCCAGTTGGGGTCATGTAGACCTGACAGGTCCTGTGAAGTAGGGACTAGGGCTTCTCTCCTGTCTCTAGATTAAGGCAGTTATCCCTCCATGGGGGATATGTTCGCTAAGTTCTTTTGTGCACCAGGGATACATCCTGGCTCCACTGTCTGAAGTCTTTTAGACAATCAGGGGGGCCTGAGTCAGTCCCATGCTGGCTTCCCAGCTATCAGTCTAGTGGCCATTAGCTCCTCCTTGTTCAGGTAAGCCGTCTCTATATGAGAAGCAGATCTATTTTAAGAGAGAATTTTTTATAGTTGTTTTTCTAAACTTGGTTACCTCACCTAGTACTTTCCACTTTATACATTTTCTTGCAACTTCAAAAATTTGATTACAGGTACCACATTTTCTTGCTGATACACATTGAGGCTGATTTGCATTTACTCCTGTTGTGATTAAGGCAGGGATAAACACAAAGCTGCACACACCTCTAGTTGGATACAAAGTTCTTTGCATTCATGTCCAGAAATGGTGTAACTGGGTCATATGGTAGTTCTATTTTTAGTTTAGTTTGTTTTGTTGGTTTTTTTTTCCTTTTTCTTTCTTTCTTTTTTTTTTTTTTGAGAACGTCACAATGACATAATTAATGGCTGTACTAGTTTACACTGCCACAGACAATAAGGATCCCTCTTTACCCACATCTTCTGCCCGCCTCAGGTAGTCTTTGTGTATCTCTGGCTGTCCTGGAACTCCAGGTGTGTTCCACTATACCCAGCTACCCAGCTTGGCATCTATTTTCTTGATAGCCATTTTGACTGGGGTGAGATGTAAACAGTAAGTTTCAATTTCCATTTCTCTGCTATCCAGAGATATTAAACTCTTCAAAATTCTTTTTGGTCATTGTGTTGTTTTTAAGACTAAGACCTCTGTTCAGTTCATTAGCACATTTATTGGTTGGCTGTGTGTGTGTGTGTGTGTGTGTGTGTGTGTGTGTGTGTGTGTATGAGAGAGAGACAGAATTCTTTCTATTCTGGATATTAGTTAGCTCCTTGTCTGAAGTGTAACTGACAATTGTATATATAGCCCATTTCTTCACCCTATTGAAACTTGCTTTGTAGAAGCTTTTTAATTTTACATAATCCTGCATGTTAATTCTTGATGCTGCTCTCGCCGATGTTGAAATTCTATCCAGAAATTGTTGTCTATACCTACATTTGAGTGTTGTCCCTCTGCTTCCCCCAAGGAGTTTCAGCAGTTCATGTTTTAAATTAAGGCCTTTGATCCACCTCGAGTTTGTTCAAATTGAGATCTGTAGATCTAATCTGATTCTTCGGTAGATGGGATTGTATGTTGGTTGAAAATGACCTTGAACTTCTGATCCTCCTGCCTCCACCTCCGAGCTAGGATTACAGGTGTGTGAAACCACACCTGGTTTATGTGCTGCTGGGGATTAAACCTGTATGTCAGGCAAATACTCTTGACAACTGAGCCGCACCTGCAGCCGGTAAGTATTACATTTAGTGGTTTAAAAATAGAGAGGGAACTGGCAGATTTGCTAAATAGAAAAAAGATGGCAGGAAGGAGCCAGTGAACTTGATGGTGGGTCAAAAGAGATGATCACAGCTCAAAAACAAGAAGAAAGGATGTTACTACAAGGAACAGAAGAATCTCAGCAGCTCATGGTGCAATATAGAAACTCAGAATATTTATGTCATTGAAGCACTAGGAGTCATTGAGCTGGGGATGTAGCTCAGTGGTGGAATGCTTACTGGTGTGTGTGGTGAGGCCCTGGGTTCACCACCAAAGAAATACAGGGACGGTGGGGGTTAATTATATACAACTTTATCTTGAGGAATTAGATCAAGTGGATAAAATTCTTTATAGGCATCTTCATAAATAAATAAGTAGCCTTAACAGTCTCATGTCTGTCAAAGAAACTGAATTCATAGCTTGAAACTTTCCAACAGTAAAACTCTTGAGTCATATAATTTTGCTGGAAAACTCTTCCAGTCATTTAAGGTAGAAATAACATAATTTCCTTCAGAGAAATGAAACATGGAGAAACACTTTTCAGTTAATTTTGCAAGGCCAATATCACTCTGACTCCAAAACAACTCTCATAAGCATAAGCATAAAAGTCTGCTACAAAATGGTGAGAAATCAAGAAAAACTACTCATTAACATAGATAATACATATTCCTCTTTGACATCCAAAATGAGTTTAATAGCCATTCCTTTGTCTTTTTACTTACCTAATTGTTTTTATTTTATCTGCATATTTCTTTTTTCTTTTTTCTTTCCTTTTTCTTTTCTTTTTTTTTTTTTTTTTTTTTTTTTTGTTTCAAGACAGATAGTGTAGTCATGATTGGTCCTGAGCATGTTTTGATTAGTAACAAGAACTAATAAGTCTTTGGAATCTCCAAGTTGTTGACATTGCTCTGTGTATAAATAACTTAGCATTTAAGCCAGCAACCAGCTTTCAAATATGCTGGCTCACCCTCCAGATGAAAGGTGGAGCTATTGCATGAAGCTTGTTAAAATTTCAAAACAATAGTTTTACTTACACTTAGATAGTTTTTCTAATGTGAACTCATAAAACTGCAGGTGCAAAAGTGTGGGATCATTCATTGGTGCCCAGTTGCATTCCAGCCCTGCTTTATAGGCATCTTCTGAATACTGAGTTTCAGGTCAGAGTAGCAGCTGCAGACTCTGACAAAGCAGTATACGTGGTGCCGAGCTCTATCTGTGCAGAACTAAATCTACCAGCATCTTAATAGTGTGCACACCTTTTCTGATTATATATGTTTCAGGTGCATATTTAGGAAATTTGAAGTGTAAAAGGAAAAAACTGAAGTTCCATTTCCCAGAGACAACTCCAGTCAATACTTTGGCTTGCTATTTATCTATAATTATACAAATACATTTGAATCTATTATTGTTTATTCAATTAAAGTAATTCATGAACATTGTTGAACACATTTGGTCCCCTGCCCCCCAGATTTTGTATTATATTTATCATACTTCTGCTTTTGGGATTATATATGAGCTTGAAATTTACAATTTTTCAGTAGGAGAGAGGAAGTGTTGGAAGAGGGTATGGTGGTATGTAAGCATAACCCAAGACTCAGTATGTGTATGTATGTACGTATGTATGTGTGTGTGTGTGTGTGTGTGTGTGTGTGTGTGTGTGTATATATATATATATATATATATATATATATATATATATATGAAATTGTCCAAGGGTAATACACACATGCATGTACCTACACACACAGGCGTTCGGTCTATTAAAAAGAAGCAACTTGTAAAATTGTAGGCCAAGAGTGGAACACAAAAAGATTATTTTTAAATGACACCAATATAACTTAGAAGTGATGCTTACTAACATGAGATGAGCATCCCACCCAGCCCCTCTTAATGGATACTGTGATGGACAAATGACAATTAGGGACTAAGAAGAAGTGAACAAAAATAGTTTTATTAATGGACATCATTTACATGAAATTTATTATTAAAAATTTATATACAATTTTACTCTAACAAAGGAAATAAAGTGCTATTTCCTAGATAAATGTTTCTTTTGCATTTTTATCTCTTAGAGTAGTTAAAAGTACT